TCAAAATTAAAATGTGTGCAGAGTCAATTTAAATGGCATTCCTTATGTATTTAAATCATTATCTCATTTCTCATTTTCTTTTCACATTTATCGATTTTAAGCTCCATTGCAATTATACATATTTCTTTGAGTGTGAACAAATTTAATGCATTGATCATGCCGTTTGTTTGAACAAAAGCAAATGTCATATTACACCGGATACAAGAAAAGTGTGAAAATACCGAGAAATGCCTTTTTATATGTAAATGACTTCTCGGTTACAAGAAATGTTTCAGTCAGTATTGCTGATTGGAAACATTATCACGGATTAAAGTTGTTTCTTAACTTGACAGGGCTAGAAACTAGATGAAGGAAAAGCAATCCCACTTAAGTAATTGCTACCTGACTTGTTTTGCAACAATTGGAAATACTATGATATTTGCTTTTTTTCTGCTTTTTTTGTGATGAATCAAATGTGAAATTGGAATTTTTTTTTGATACATGGTATAGGGCATTTGTTAAGTTTTGATGGAAAAGGATATGTTAGTCTGTTTGCTTCGGAATGCAAGTCTCTCTTCTTGTACATTTAGTAGCTTTCAAAAACAGTTCCGTATGCAAGGGTGGACAGAGGTCTTGTTTTGCAATCATCCAAGAAGTTTGGAAGTGTTCTTTCCCTCCCACGCAACAGCTCTCCCCCCAAGTTGTCAAATAACTACAACCAAGTGCAAAAAATTATTTACTGGTCGCAAAAAATTCAATACAAGCCAATATAAGCCCTGAAGCCTACATTCAAACTTGCTTCATAACTACAGTCAAGGGATAAGATTTCATTTGCTGGTCACAAAAATCTAATTTAAGTCACTGTAAGCCATGACGTCTTACATTCAGACCTTCTCTATCTGTAACTGTTTCAGGAAATGATCTCCATGCGCGGATCTAATGAAAGTGATTACTTTTCATCTGGTTGCTGTTGATGAGGTTCAATTCTGGGAGGCAGATATGTATGCCTAAATGATAGGGTGGAATCAATCTCCAGTCACTTTATATTCTATCAGTTAAATCCTAAGCTATTCTTAGGTACTTTTCAGATAAATTGCGCAGTCGTGGTTTCTGAGATCAGGAATAATGGTGGACACATTCCATAATGGGGATTTACATTAGACAGGGGGATTGTTCTCATCTTAAAGTGAAACTAAAGGAAGCATGCATGATATACTTCTGGTGGAAACTTGTACTGAGATCTTAGCTACATGAGATTGTCTTTTATGTAATAATATAAATTACTCTAGAAGCTCTACTTTGACACGGGAAGATCTAGGTCCAGCTCATAGATCCCAATTAAGTTATCCCAAGAGAAAAAAGCAAGGCAACACAGCAGCTTCATTAACAAAATCTAAAACTCAATTTATTCACAGGTCCTTGACTATTTTTATACTTGTGGTCGTGACAGAATTAGCAAGATAGGAGGTTAAACTTCATAAAGAGATATAGGCAATTAAAGATAGGGCAATCACAAAATATACTGTTATGAGCTGTACGCACTTGTAGGCGACTCCATTAAAATTTATTTGCAAGTCTGTTGATTAGTTCACATTCAGTACAAAAGGTTGTGAGATTTAGGATGCGGCATACATGCACACACACACACACACACATGCCTGCATGCACACCATCGTATCCTATGATGTTAATTACAAGGGATTGTAGACTAGCTGTCTCCATGTTTCTTACGTTCATTGCATTGTGTTGCTGGGGACATTGGAAAGCCAGATGGACAACTAATCAGGCCCAAAAGTTAAACCAGATCGTTGAAGCATTGTAGCCTGTGGAATTAATTAATTTTTTTTTCTTTTTGTATTTAAATAATTTAGAATGTCAAGAAAAAAATAAACACGTTTTCAGACGAAACTCGGGGTTACTTTTCATAACTGGCATTGTTGATTGTTACTGCTAATAAAGATATTGATTATTTTGCTGTAATCTGAACTTTCTCATCTGAAGCTGAAGGAACCAAGAATGACAAATTAAGTTACTGAATTACTTTGATTTATCTTCTCAGCTTATTTGATTTCCTTTTCCATTAACCCCCCCCCCCCCCCCCATCCATCCACCACCACCCCACCACTGCTTACACACTTACAGATCAGACCACTTTTATCATTTTGTCTTAACTCCTGAAGTTTTAATCAAGTGTGATGAAAGATTACAATAAGTTAAGATCGATTTTCCATCAGTCGGGAAAGCGTGTATCGTAATGAAGAAAATTTAGAAAAGTGATAGGTAGTAAAGGAAGATTATAATGTCATTGATTTCATTAATGGTAATGGCTTTGGGTGGAGTTTCTTTAAATAATAAGATTATATTAATCTTCAGGGATTTTTTTATTGATGCCTCAGTAGTACTTGTTGAACTTTAAAAACCTGGCATCCTCTTCCTCCAGTACTACAAATATTGCTGATATTCCAAATATGTTGAGATTTTTTTATTTTATCAAAACATGTCTTATTCTCCATTTTAACTTTAGATTGATCTTACTCAGTTAATTTTATGATTGCTATATGTTGTTCAACCCTTTCTGGAAGACACTGACCCCCTTTTTCTAAAGCAACAGCAGCATATGTAACAAATGCTGGTTTGTAGTTATTGATTCCTGGTCATATCGTGACTACTTGTTATTTGTACATGGTTGTATTTATCTTCATGGTAGATTTGTTTTGTCTGCTGCACATATAAAATTTAACAATAAAAGGTCTCATGGCCTCTTACTTGCATCTGGTAACATGGTCAACTTTTTAACCAAGAATTAAGCTAGAAAATTTTAATGATTACTTTTAACTCATGTGTTCTGTATATTTCATGTATTTGGTTGTTACTTTCAGCAGTAGGGTTCTGTGATAACAAACCTGGACAGAGGTCGCCACTGCCCAGCCATCCTTCTCCTACCATTACTCGCTGGATGAGGACTGGTAGCACGGACAGGAGACGCAGGGTGCTGCCAAAAGCGCCAACTGTGGATGTACCACCAAGTATGTTACTGCATGCAACTGTAGCTTCATAGAGAATTTCTTGGTCCATGGTTGTTTTTGATCCTCCGGCAAATGCTATACTGTATTGAATTTACACAGAAAATGAAAGTTGTGTCCACTGCCATATAAATTGCAATGATTTGGTGAAAGAATACTATTTGGCATGGAGAGCTTAAGAGCTTATTTTTGGCAGTCTTTTCTTGAGATACTTTAATTTAGGTACTTACAATTTTTCTGTTCAGAAAATGAGAACTTGCACCTATGCTTACCAGTAATGTTACTCTGGAGTGATCTGCCAAGTTTATTAAGTTGTCCCATTTTTCATGCATGTGGGATGTTGTTGTTAATGTTGTGGGTGTGTTTGTATGTGTTTAATGTTTCATCTGTCACTTTTTTAATATAAAAGAATCTTTGGTATTGAATCATTTTGTCATTATTAATCATCATGCAGTGCTGCTACCTCAAGATAGACATGCATATGCAGATTTTGCCCGTCTGATATTATTTTTGGATTTCCCTTAAATCCGTGGTTGATCTAATTCATATAGCTACATGCGCACCCTTTCAAGAGGACTTCATCTTATATAGTTACCTATGGAAGAATTGAAACCAATTTCATGCTGATAGTGTATGAGATTCAACGTGTTTTGAAGCATTTTCTCTCTCTCTCTCTCTCTCTCTCTCTCTCTCTCTCTGTATTTTTGTACACTGTAGTTGACTAACGATTTCTACAATTTTTATCATAATGATGAAATTTGAATGAAGCAGCTGTGTTGAGCAATGTGATGGGATGTTAATTGTGTTTATATTCTCAACTACTGCAATTAGTCTGTTTATGCTTGGTTTGTGGTTATAGGCAATACAAAGGTCTTCTTAGATACTTTTAATAACAGCTGCAATATTTATGAACATATTAAAATATTACATTTTTGGGTGACATTTGTGAAATAAAAATTAAACTTCAGTATTTTAGATAATCAGGAGATAAATGGGACTATAAGATTATACTTACACATTTCCCTGATATCATCTTTAATTATCTAGTACCAATTTAATACTGATCCATATGTTAATATGCATTTATGTGCCTATAATTTTTAACTTGACTCCAGCAAAATGAATGGTGTCATGCATTTTCAGGAATTTCACTTTGTTGAAGATATTTTAAGCAAGGTTAATAATTTATTATTTCAAGTGATATCCTAACATGACTTAGAGATTTACTGGTCTGTTCATGTAGTAGTAAGAAAGGAAGGCCCGAGACAAAATTCTTTAGGAAAAAAGTGATACTTTTTCTTTCCATACCAGTCGTATAAATGACTAAAGGAGACTTGCCAATTGTTTAGAGCATATTGAAGGCGAAGAGAAGTCTTGAATAAGATATTTTTCTCGCCAATGGATATAAATCATCCAAGATCTAAGTGAAGTAACACAGGATTACTTTTTTCATCAATATTTATGAACAGTCCATCACAAGAGCTTTATTGAGAACCTTTGAAAAATATTTTTATGGATAAGAACTATGCTAGTATAAATCCCAGCTGAATTGTACTTGTGATATATGATATACCAAGTCAAAAACATTGTCACTTACCCTTTTCTCTAATGAAAAATATTTTGAATGTTTAGCAAAATGTATTCAGTCAATTAAGAAATGTTTTGGTCTGGTTAGAATTAGACCAAAATCAAACAAAATCATAGATGTCTGAACCAAACTACATCATGTCTAGATGGATAATGGCATGCTTTTTGAATGAGTGAGAAAAATTGTGAATGATGAATGCTGGATAAAGCTCTGGCTAAATGGTCATGTTTAAAACCACGTTCCATACGGTGTATGTCTCACCTGCGATCCAGCCCCAACAATACGAGGCATTGACTAGAGGTTCAGGCTATTGAATGTGATACCTACCTGGATTGAAAGCCAGGGCTTTGAGCCTATCAGGAGTGTTGTTGTATTTTTAAATCTAGCATAAAATTTGGTATTCAGGGCTGATTTCAAAACAGATTCATGTGTTGAGATAACATTGGGATAAGGAAAAACATAATGGGTGCATTTTTCTTTAATGAAAACAACCAAGGGTCTGGCAGTATTTGCTGTTCTTGACGTAAGGGTGGTCAGTAAATGGTGCTACACTGTACTTGTCTGACGTTCATCAGCTTTTCTACTTGAAGATTGATATTGAGAGCAGAGGAATTTGCTCCCAAAAACTTGGAAATAGAAATTAATACAAGAACAGAACAATAGCATAGAATTCTTTTTTTATGAGGCACACTCCACAGAGGCAGCAAGAACGGAAGCAAGCAATGAGTACACATGTAACAGAGTTGTTTTTCTGAGGGACTGCTGCAATAGATTGTCTGGGATTGGTGTTGATGTTTATTGTTTAGGAGGATTCAAATGGATAGAAAACATTAGAAAGTGGACAGAGTTGTTTTTATGAAGGACTAGTGCAGCAGCAGTGATAGATTGTTGGGAAATTTGAAAGTACAGCAGGAGACAACTGGGTAAAAAGATCAAATACATTTGGAAATTATCTCTTTTTGTTGAAGGGCTTCTATGACAGCAGTGTCTGGGAAGCGCATTTCTAAGTACAAGAGGTCACAAGTTCTACAACAAAGGAAAGGAAGTAGGGAAAATTATTTTCACGAAGAACTTTGGTGAGAATATGTATATAAATACAAACACAGCAGGTAAATAAATAAGTCATTTTTTGTGTTTGATTACCACAGCTGCATTGTTCAGGAAAATTTTCAGTAAAACTAGCTTTAAGAAAAGAGTTCTACAGGAGACATTTATGTACTGAATTAACCCTTTCTTGCATCTGACTGTGTTTATTTCATCTTGTCTGGCCTTCCTGTCATGTCAGGGCTCTGGGAAATGAAAGAGAGCAGACAACAAAGGAGGTGTGCCACATAATTACTGTGAAACCATGCTGTTTGATGGAAAACTAATCTAATCCACTTCTGCATGACTCTTGTCCAGTGGCGGAGAACAACTTGACTGTCAGAAAGGTATAATTACACCTTACAGGTGTATAGAGGGCAATCATCTACTCACCTGTCACAAATAAAATACTGGGGAGAGAAGGGGGGACATCCATTATAATTGTTACTGTCACGGTGGTTGGAGAGAACAGCAGTTCTGTTGAGAAGTACACCTGGTTTAGAGGAGAAGAGACAGCTGAGTTGTTTGAAGCTATGCTAAGTCATCTGACCCGGGGACAGATAGGAGACATTTAGGGATCTCCCAGGCCTGTGCTCTGTCATCCTGCTTACAGACTATATACATCTTCCAGGTGAAAGCACAATGCTGAGTGATCTATCTGAGATAAAAACAGTGAACAGTACTCGGAGTGGTGGAATCAAAGGGCTCATTTTGCAGACAACTGAATTACTTTGTCTATTGATCCCTCTCACTGTGAGCTGATTGAGTAATGTAATATCCATTTTCTCTATGTGACTTTAATATCAGGCACAGTAACCAGATGCAAAGAGGCAAAGTTGTATTATTGCCGCTCCATGAACCATGACGTAGCACGTATTTTTATGAAGGAACATTAATAGTTTACGCAGCAGAAAAGGGTGGCCGACCACTTGTGCAGACTATATCATTTTAAATGTCACTTAAATTTTGGCTATCAACTCAGTAAAAGGAATTTGTGCCATGTAAAGTTCAAAGCACCCGGCCAATCTCGACAAGGTAGTGCAAGGACTTTTCATGCGCTGCATATTTAATAACATTACGGCATATCAGGTAATAACTACAAGTCTGCACATGACTGGAATCAGGATTACTGCTTCTTAGATGCTAGGAACAAATGCATTTTCCATAGGCTTATGGGATTAACTGTTTGTGGACTTTGATACTCCGTTGTTTTGGTTTAGCAAATATTTCAAATGTCAACCAGATCTGGTGGAGTAAGCATTGCTTGATATCAGAATCATCAAAGCAGAACACTGAACAGGAGAGGCATATCGTATGTAAGACGGTCATTCTCCATAGAGACACAGGGCAGTTTATTGTGTTACTCACCACTCAGGGTGGTTGTAAAGAGACATCCTGCGGTGATTTGGGGACAATCGTTATTATGTCAGTATTACTACAAGGAGGATGTTGATGAAATGATTGGTTGCGCTTAATAGATATGCTAACAGTGAAACAGCACAGAACAGAGATTGTTTATACGGAAAATATCAAAAGCAAGGTGGAGAGCATCAAGAGGACAGCACTTCACTGGACCAAAAAACTCTTCCCTGACCCTGTCATCCCCCTGAACACAGTGGCAGAAGGCTCCCAGGATGACGAACCCAGTGGTAATGGCTTAGCTACAGGGAAAGTTCCACCTGTAGTCCCCCGTAAGTAAAACTTAGAAAGAAAGAAAACTGGAGAAAAGTTTTGTGGTTTCAGGCCAGAGTTTTGGTGCTTATATTGATATGGTGGGGTGAGGTGGGGAGGGAGGTGCTACATGTATATTAAGTGTCACCGTTTCGGTGCTCTCAGGAAAGATGGGGAGGAGTAGGATGCAAAAAGCCATTAAGTGTAAGAGTCTGTAATAATTGAGGGGGGATGCTGCTTATTATCCTGAATGTAGGAAAGATCTTTTAAACCTGTGTGCCTCTATTTTACAGTAGGAAAGTTTATTTGGTTGCCTAGATACCACTTTAAGGTCAAAATGTCAGTGTGCTACATACTGCCACATTTCTGGTTTGTGTTCATTTTGACTGGGATTTAATGTGAACTAAGTGCCTCTAATAAGAAGTAAGTTTATTGTTTGTATAATGAATATTTTCTTTTCATTTCTGGACTTAATTGGGCATCAAATACACTTTAATTTGAAATGATTGACCCTTTGTTAATAGTTGAATCAGCTTTTGCCATAAATAATCCCCTCCCTTTTTTGTTTGATCCGGCTTTCCCATTATATTGACACTCGTGTCCTGCTCTGACAGTAATGCTGTATGGATAGCAGCTATTTTGTCCACACCTCTTTTTTAAAGCTAAGTTTGGTGTTCTTTGAGACATTACACAGTTTATTGTATGTCATGGGGACCATAGAAAAATATCAGGTAGTTTTTGTCTTTTTACAGTACTAAGTTTCAGGGATGTTAGATGAGTTATTGGTTTAGTGAATACATATTGACTGTCACTCCAAAATCCAGTCTCTGCTGTAATACTGCCCCAAAGGAAACCTGCCTTTTTTTGTGGAAAACACTTTTTACAGATGAGATTAAGAAAGTTCATGAGTATACATGGTATTGCTGTCTGCATTTTCCTGTTGGCTGTACACTGATACGGCAGGTGGAGTAGGGGATTTAGTGGCTCTATTACACACATATCCACGTATGAAGATGTTATCTAATATAGTTAAATGGATTTTTAAATGTATTAAATTGAAATTGGTAGTTATTTAATATACTCAAATGGATGTTAAAGTGTATTCAAAGAATACGGTTTACGTAATACATGGTATCAAATTTAGGAGGATTGCATGTCTAATGAAGATCCTCAGGGAATCTTACATGTCTAGTTTTGCAACATAACAAAATGCATTTTTTTCAGTCATTGTTTCAATTGTTTGTTCAGCTTTTGTTGTTTCGGGAGGAAAAAAGTTTTCATTTGTGTTCTTAAAAGAAATGACTCCAGTTGTCAAATTTTTAACCAAAAATTTTAGTGATATTGCACTCAGTTTATGAAACATATTTTATTTGTTTGTTTTTTTTTCACTGTAACAACGATACATCATGTGACTTCACGTAATTGAAGACTGAACAGAAGCAAGTTTAGATGTCAGGGCACAATGATATGGAATGATTGATGGCTTGGCGTATAGAATTGAACATAAAATTTTTTCGTGCAAATCCACATCTCTTTCATGACCACAATTAAGTCTTTAACTATTAAAGCATTTTTGCTGTAGCACTTATGTTATAGGGGTTTAGAACTTCCAAATATATAGCCAAAGGCACACTCCGAATAGGCAGTTATTTCAACTAATGTTTGTCCCCATGTAGCCGCGGTTAGTTTTTGTGGTAAAACACATGTGTATCTGTCATCGCAACAAGGAGTGTATATGAACATTTCATTAATTTTACAGGACTAGTTATCCAAATTATTGCTACTGTATGTGCTTGCTAGTACTTTAATGGGAATTTTGCACTTATAATGAATTGAGTTTTCTGTGAAGTGTATTGATCGTTTTCAACAGGATTGCTGGCGTCTGAAGTTCAGAGTTGGGAAAGGAGTTATGAATAACAGCAAGTTAAATGGTGAACTATTTCATTTGATATTGTTAAGCATTATGAGTGACATTGCACAATTTTTAATCATTTCAGTATAACACCTAACAACATAATTCTAAGAGCTGCTTCTATATTTGACAAACTTGTTTATCTTTATTGAAGGTCATTATTTCTTTAAAATTATGATAAACAATGAGTCATTTTTAAATCAAGTTATTCTGATTTTGTAACAGACTCATAAAAACTGAAATATGTCATAACTTCTGAAAATTAATGATAAATATTTTGCTTTATATTTATTTTATTTGAGGTCAATAGGTGGAGTATATTTAGTTGTAATTTTTGCACCTGGGGCCACTTACCTTAAAGTGTTTCTTTTCATACTGAAGTAACTTGTAGAGGGTTAAATTTCCCCATTTCTGCCCATGAATTGGGGGGAAAAATAGCCTGATTGTTAGATTATGTAAATGGTATCCAACATTGCTTGTTATGTTACTCTAGAGAGTCTAAATAACCTTTTACAATATTCAGCAAAAATCATTTTTCTCAACCACAATAATTTTTCACTTTTTTGTACTTTGATCTGTTATATTGAATTGAACACAGTTCCCGTAAGACCTGTGTAAGAAGATTAAGCATAATACAACTGTGAAAGATAAATTTACCACAAAATCAATCTCCACTGAACAAAAAAAGAGATTTCAGTAGCATGTTCTTTCAGATTAGGTTCCGCATTTATCTTTTCTTTTAAAAAAAGGTATAAAGTAGCTCAGAAAAGCCATTGTTGACGCAGAGCATTATAAGGTGCTTATACCCAGAGTCTTAAAGGAAATTAATTTTTCAGTTGGCAAGTTTTATACTATTGGACTATGGGACGTTTGCATCTGGTAAAAGATAAACAGCTCGTAAAAGATAACTCCATCATTAAAAATCCATCGTAAAAGTTACTCAGTGACTCAGAATGGCTTCTCTTGGAGTTGGGGGGAAAATATGTATTATTAGGAAGTTTTAGTTGTAACTGCACTGACATGATTAAGCGAGAAGTTCTTAAATAAATTTGTGAGTTTATGAAAGATTCAAACAATGAGTCCTTCCCCTCTTTATATGTTGAAATTATTTCAGTTCTGAATTTTTTTTCTATGCTTTCATAAATGTTACCAGTCTGTGTAATGATACATGTATGTCGAGACAACACTTATCATGCAATAGCAACCGTTTTTGTTTGTGATACATAATAAATGCTCACAGTGTTTTGACCTTGAAGAAAACAATTCTGTCAGTAGTCAGAGATGTTTGAATGGAAGGGTTTTCATAAAAGAAGATTGACTGATCCTTGAGTGCAGTAATCATGTTTAGGTGCTGTGACATCTTGTAAAGTATTGGAACATCAGTATTCATGGATTTTTTAATAAAGAAAATTTAGGGAATCAATTATGCTTTTGTTCTGATATGTGATTATCAAATTTAGAGTAAATGGGAATTGCCCCCAACCACCAGGCAGGGGTTTTATTGATATTGTAACGGAAAGTCATCTCTAGATTTTTAACTTAATGCTAGATGTAACATTACATAATTATAAAAGGTAGATGTATATGTATATACATATATCCCCAAGAGCATTCATTGCAATTTCAGTACACAGTACTTTCATGATAATCGCCTATCCAGCACTCAGCCATATATAAGTGCGTGTGGCTCGCTGGATTGTATTGATTGATGACTATTTGATTATACTCATTAGTTAACTGTAACTTTGCATGCCTGTGTTTTTCAGCACTTCATTAGGCTAAAGCTTTTGACAGTTTATAATGAACGTTGTAAAATTAGCAATCTGGAATATTGTTAGATCTCCAGTTTTAGAGAAAAAAATTGCATGTTTGAAAGTTGTGAAATACTTATTGGAGCAACATTCCCAAAGAGTAGTTAAGTGTATTTTATGGTGTAACAGTTCAGTTTGCCAAGAGATTTAGAGCTACATGGTGACATCTTGCCAAAGTAATTTTGCCTTTCTTATTAAGTAAATTTACATATTTTTTACATGGTATGATTTAAAAAGTCACTAACAGCATGGTTTTTTTAAGACCATTTTTCTTGTCTTATGAAAGATTTCCATTCCGGGTCTTTTGTATTCCACAGGCTCAGCATGGAAGTTAGATGAAGATGGGGATTCTTCCGACTCTGTAGCGACCAGCACTGAAGACACGGGGAATTTCTCACGGGCACCCTCACAACTTTTCTACACAACACCACCTAAGACAGTAAGTTCATTGAAAATACACTATACATATTTTACATTTTTTTGTCACCACAAATTCCAGAGTTGATATAATATATATCCAAGTAAGCTGGTATCAAGACATTAATATGATACACTTTAACTTGACTACGCATTGGGTTTCAGTGTGCTTATGTTGTAATAGCCTTCTATTAAAATGAACTTACAGACTATCAAATGATAGAATTGCAATTACGTTGCATAATCCATACAGCAGACTAGAGTAAAGAAGTCAAGCTGAGATTGTTCAATTTGTGAAAGAGGTTGATATTTTTCATGATCTGTTTTCTGTCTGTCTCATTTCTAATGTGCGGTTATTAAGGCATTTTCTGCTTGTTAGATTGGAGGCATGTGGCTTCTAATGCAATACATCATAGCTTATGATGGATATGATGGTCACCATATGTAGAGATTTTCATCATTATGATAAAATGATGTTTCCATCCAACTACGGGCATTTATGTCTATTTCATGCTTTGCCAGTTTTGTTTATGTTTTTTTTCACATGTATAAACTTATTTTGTGACCTTAAAATTTCAATATTCTGAACTATGCGGAATATTAAGTTTTGGATTTTTTCATCTTTATTTACAAAATTTACCAACATAAAAAAATTATTAATAGTACACGTAAGAAATATGCTTTTAAATTTAAAAGTCAGTGGGAAATTTGTTTCCAGCTATAACTGCCTCTCCTTATAAAAGCTTTTCAGTTTCATTTTCTTGTGGTTGTGATGATAAAAACAGGGTAGACAGACACTACATTTAGTGTAAAACTTGGGAGACTTGCTGCTATCTCCCTTCATGATTTATTTAGGAGAGGATCATTTCCTCCGCTGTTCACAAGCTGTTTTTGCTCCTGGAAATGACTGTAAGGGAGAAAAGTTAAATGTCATCATATATCATCAAATGAAACTTTTTTTCCTGTGGCTTCCCTAGCCTGGCAAAAGCATTGTTAAGCAGCATGGCTCTGGCACAAGTAAACACAAGTTGCCTCAAATGTTCAGTTCAAAAGGGTTGTGAGTGGATGGATAAAAATTTGAAGTAGATTGATTGATTTGGTGAGATTCCAAACAGAGAAGCAAATCAGAGTGATTGTAACCATTTTCATTATCTTGACTGTCCAAATTGCACTAGCTCATAAATTACTGCATTTACTTCAGAATTGGCAATTATATGATTTATTTGGAAGTTACTTATGACATGAGTGAATAGGATTGTTTTGGATGTTTTGATTGTAATTGATAAGCACTCAATTGATTTATAAAAAAATTCTGAAAGTGTTTTTTAAGTATTTAAATATGTGTATTTCAGCAAATGGCAGCTATGGTAGGAGATCATAGGTGAGTTTCTTTTCAATTTTATTTCATTTCAGTTTAAACTAATGCTAATTAATGGCCCAGCTGTGGGTGGAAATGCTACCAACTAATTATCTCTAATTATTAATAGTAATTCTTGTAAAATATGGCTCTGTGAAGGGAGGTTTGGAGGGACACCCCACATGGCAGGGACTCGGCGGGAAATTGATTTCCATGTCTTGTGAAGTCTTTGAGATCCAAATCCTTGAGTTGAGATTTATAACCTAGAATTGCTGTTATGAACTTTTATAAGTATGTGTTTTATTCTAACAATTTTAGTTTTACTTGAGCTCTAGTTGTGCATGGACATTATGAAGAGGTTAAATGCAATGTTTAAATGCTGTAACCTTGATAGAAGTTATGTTTAGCGGGCAGAGAATTTAACTGATACTATCCAGACATCATATCAGCTGGATATTTTTTATAATTCTACTCTGCAGGGAACTCTTGCTTAATTGCATCCAGTGTGATCAGCTTAATTATCTGACATGCCTTCTTGAGTAGCCAGTGGGTAATTAACTTTGGTAGAAGTTGAGAAGGATGTTAGACGTTTAAGCCAACTACAGTAATTACACTTAGGGAGAATCTCCCACAGAGTTGGGTTGATCCAGCTTGTATGATGGGTTTTTCCGAACGCTCCCTTAGGCAATTACTTCTCCTTTTTCTTCCTGCATCACATTGCTAAACAGAAAATTTGATCCTTTGGTAAATGTACACATACAGTAATATATCTCTTGTACTTACATCTAATGACATAAGGGCAGACGTTAATGTCTGTTATTCATTATTGGTGCCAAAGTGTTGTGTTAAACTGAAAAAAAAATGGTAACTTGTAATACCTCTTAATTGTGCTGACACACCCAAAAACATGTGCATCGCATTTTGCTGCACGTTAATTGTTGGTTTTGACTCTTTAAAATGCTGAATAGTAGCAAAACTTCATCAGTCTTTAAACCTTGTTGATTTTGACTAAGATAAATGGTTAATTTTTTGCCTCATTTTCCTAGTTGTGGAGATCGGCAAAGCAGCACAAGTCGACTTGGTAGAAAGCTGAGTGAGAGGGAGAAGAGAAAAGATTCCAAAAAGGGGAAAATGCACCAAAGATCCCATAGTGTGGATTAGTAAGCAAATTTTTGTCATAAATTTTTTTTCAATGGCCTAATTAATTCAAGTATTGGAGTTTAAGCGAGTTGCTGAATGAAGAAAGTTTAAACATTTCAGTATATTTATTCTTTGGCATTTGCAAGAGATCAATTATTTATTTCTTATCTTTTTTTAAGAATAATTTAATTGGATATATATAATTTTTTTAAAGTTCAGACGGACAGCTGCCTGAGCCCCAGCCTGTGTTTGTGGACCGTGTTCTCCATGCATCTCCAAGTGCTCCTGGGAAACTAAGCAAGATGGCTGTTAGTGGCTCCATCTCTCCATCTGGTAGATTGGTACGCTCTCTCTCAGGTAAGCCAAGATCAATGACAGTTAAATTCGTAACACAGGTGGAATGACATCAATTTTTTTCTTTGTTTTGCAGTAAGAGTACGCTTGACACTTGAATATTTTTTGTGTCTTATATGCTTTATTGCAACCAAATTCCTACCAAAAATAGAACTAGGTTAATGGCACTGGTCTCAAGTTTCATTGTTGGGCTACTTAGCTTGTGTACTGACCATATTACATGGTGTTAAGTGTCTCTAGAATAAGGCCAATAGGACATAAACACTGCAACCCTACAAGGCTAACCTGGCTGTGAGCACAAAAATGTCTTTTTGAAAAAGGTGTAATGTAATATTGACAAAATCTTTCCATTATTTCACTGTAGCAGTTTTTAAATTAAATTTACATCAAGAGGAAATTTGACCCCCCCTAGTGGCTTTAATTTGTGAAGTTGAAAGATGGTCACCAGGAAATAATTTAAGAAAAATAAATGGCACATCTTTACATCTGTGCTATATTGTTATCAAGACTCATGTAACTTAATACATTCGTTCATGAAATTCTCTTGAGGGTTATTGTGAGACAAAATTGAAAAATGATTTATTTCCGACATATATCTGCCTAATGATAGCAGGAGTAAGTGGAATGGAAATTGGCTTCATTGACATTGGCATTCACAAAATAGGCGTTTGGTTATAAAATCGAAAAAAAGAAATCCTCTAATTCTGTCCCTTATTTTTAAAATAGTGACTGTTTATATCTGTAAGCCCCTCTCCCACTGCTTGGTTAAAATGGTTCTACCAATGTGATAAAGGCATTACACAAAGACTTCATTGTTCCACTCTTGATTTGTTCAGTGACTCATGACTTGTCGTCATGTTACAAAGGATTAGATTCTAAAGCAATTTGGTATTCATGATATACAAGTCTGTTTTTTTTTTTAAAGGTATATGCCTTTTTTAACAAGTAGAGAAAAGCTGTGAATGTTTTTTGTCTAGCTGTATGTAACAACTCCTGGCACAGTACAGAAATAAAATTTTAACGTTCTTCTGAGAAACATTTGAACATGCACTTGTCTGATACCTGTTGTGTTCTTGTCAGTTCACATTCAGCATTTGGTTGTGCTGAGAGAATCTTATCTGTCTCTCCTGTCACAATCACTGGATGCTGTTTTCTTTAGCTGCCATAACTTAAACATAGTGTGCCCAATTCTGAAACTCAACTAGTGCTCAATATTTGTGTTTTGATATTTAAATTCAATAGTGGCTTTGATAGTATCATTTCTTTGATCTTTTATTTTCCCTAGGATGAATTTGAAAGTAGCTGGTATGTCATGTGCTGATGCACAGGTATGCATGCATATACACATGACAGTATTCCTGTATATTTGTTAATTTGTTCATTTCTCTGATCCTTGCACATGAATACTTTACAGTACATTTAATATCTTCAGGTACATCTAAACGGAAAGGGAGTGTTGATTCCACAGAAAATGAAGTTGCCAACAAGCCAGAGAGGAAGAAAAGTGATAAGAAGAATAACAATGTTCGATATGATATCAATGGTAAATATTTTTAATTATACCATTTATAATGAGTTTTTATAAAGTGTGACCATTTAAATGGAATGTGAAATTATGACTTCTCTGTAAGTAATGATACAGATCTATAGTTAAAGTGCTTGTGTTAAAGCAACATCTCTTGTGCAACTTGAATCTGCTGCTGGTTAATTTTCAGCTTCGTTATCTTATCTCTGCCTCAGATTTGTAAATAAAAAATGGGGTATTGCAGGTAAAGAAAAGTGGTATTTCATGCTTAATTGATTTGATGCATGTTGCAGGAGTCAGAAAAGCTGATTTGTTGGTAAATCCAAAGTTTTTTCAAACCGTTAAGCATTTTCTGAGACAGACCAAACCTGGTACTTGGCATGAAGCGTATATTTAGCTAGATATTTCTAAATTTAGATGCCAGTCTATGCTGGGACTTCTTACTCAATCTGTACATAGTAACTAATATATTTATTGACAGTAGCCTTTGACGGAGACATGTTCTCTTTGCTGGAGAGAATGTAAAAACTACTTTACAGAAAGATATGACATTTTAACATATGTTAAATCGGCAGTTTTGACTGATACATGCATCTCCAAATAGTGCATTAATCATGTATTGCTGCAAGTATAGATATTTACGCAAAAAAGAGCATTTTTCATTATTCAAAAATCTAAAGAGATGCAGTTGTTTTATCATTGTTTGTTTAGAGATTTATCCTGACACGTGCACGCATACACATGTTAAGTATGAAAACATGCAAGCAAATGAGAGAGACGGAGAATGTGTTAAAACCACCCAGCAACATTTTCTAGATTTGCAATGGATACTTTGAATCCACTTCTCTCTGTCCTGTCATTGGCACAGACAGCCAGTGATGGATTGCTTGCCTTTCCTTGCCTTATTATTTCACGCCCAATGAAGAGGTGAGGGTAGAAACTCTGAACACCTTTCTCCCCATGCTGGTTCTTCACTATTTCCCCAGCCATAATACACCTTTTAATTGTCCTGGAACCAGTGGGCATATAGTTCAACAATTATCTCTTTGGTGATTTGCCAATATTTTTAAAAAGTTTTCTGAAGAATCTTCATGGCAGAAAATATTTAATTCAAATACAGCAGCTAGTTTTAGTTCAATATTATGTGACTTTTCTTAATTTTTATTACCATTATGTAAATATGACCCAATGATATAATGTAGGACTTACATAAACAGGTGCTCAGACTTGTAGAGTGGGTTGAAGAGGAAATGTACTAATAACATGGGCTGGATGATAGTTCATCTGATATTCTCCTTGGAAAGTGAGTTTTAATTAACAGGAAGTATTTAAAGCAACATATGTTTCTGTTGAAAACAGCAAAATTGCAGTTCCTGTTAATAGTTAACAGTCAAAGCACTAGTTTTTAGCCTATTAATATATAAGTTTAAATGTGAAACAATGTTTTGAATTAACGTAAATCTGCAGTCTGTTTCAATTTTATTTTTACTCATCTGGCCATCATAAGAAAAAAAACAAAAATGAAGATTTCAGTTATTTGACTAGGGAAGATAATCCAACACTGAATTTTCATTTTTTTTAATTTTCAAGTGTTATTTATCTCTTATGACGTGATAAACCACAGGTTCACAAGATTTAGAAAATTTGAATTGGCAGCAATAGTGCTTACAACATTGAGGGCATAGTGAAATATTGTGCTGGTGTTTTAGGGTCTTGGCCTCTGTGCCAAAGTTTCTCACTCATTTACTTCATGTAGTATCCTTTTTTCTAAATTATACCATCCATACATCACTTTGCCTGCTCATTAGGCTGCTGTGATATAGTAAATCCCAAACAGTTCAGAGCCAGAAAACCATAACAGTTTTTCATTGTAACATCTATTTCTGTCATACTTTTAGTGGCTTTAACAGTTAATTGCCCACTGAGTGGATGAGTTTTAGGTTGGAGTTACTTGTTTGCCATTTAAAACTTGTATGATCAAACAAAACCCGCTTTCTACCTGTAGGTAAGGGCCCGACAGCTAGCCTGCACGTCTTGTTCTTCTGACGTAGGTATAAGCAGTAGTCTGCACCCAGGCTGTTAACTGGTAATGTCTGGGTCTTAGTTGTGTATTCAGGATGATGTATGCTGAGTAGGATGGGCCTTGTCCAAACTGTTTGTCTCTGCCATACAGATCTCCACAAGCATTTAATTGAACAGTTTTTCCCAGGTGTGAGCTACAGGATAATTGTGGTTTTATGCAGTTTAAAATACAATATATAAAACTGCTACCATGCTGGAGATAAAGAGCAAATTTGAATTGTTTAGGTTGTCTTTTTTCTTGGTGTATTGAGATCAATTATATTTTATGCAAAGGATTTTTTCAGAAGTTAATTAAAAAATGATTACTGTTTTTTTTATGTTATAACGAAGATGGCAAATCCAAAATAAAGATGCCCAGTTTGTATTTGATATTTCAAAAGTAGTCTAACAGGAGAATAGTTTTTTAATTTAATAGTCCAAAACAAATTTGATGCATCATTTCAAGAAGATAACCCAAGTTAATTAAATGATTACTGTTTTTTTTTTTTTAATATTATAGCGAAGATGGCAAATCCAAAATAAAGATGCCCAGTTTGTATTTGATATTTCAAAAGTAGTCTAACAGGAGAATAATTTTTAAATTTAATAGTCCAAAACAAATTTGATGCATCATTTCAAGAAGATAACCCAGAGCGTATATGAAGACATTAAGGAAATGGCATTGGTGGGTTAAAATGACTGACAGGCACTCTCACCTAGGCTCCACCAAACTCCTTAACCATTCATGTTAAAGAAACATTAAGGAACTGCACACTGTTGCAAGGATGGCATGGAAAGCATCATTTGTAGGTGTGCATTTATAAAGTCTGCCAACTCTGCCTGGGACGCATGATGAACAAAAAGATTGCCAGTTGCCCAAAGACTTTGCTAGTGATTTCACGTGGAGACTGGAGATAGTTTGGAGAGATTGGACTCTTTATATAGAAACAGGGCTGGCCTGTGGTCAGGCTAGAGTAGACTGAGTCACACAAGGAAGGTGTTTTGTTTAAATGTTGCAGGAGACAGATAAGGATAGCCACAAATAATGTGACAAGCATGGTTGCACGTAGATAGATTCATTTTTTTTTTATTTTAGCTAATATTTATTTATCTTTATGTAAACTTGGCAAGGGGACATAGCTGTGCTTTTTCTTTTATCATTTACAACTGAAATGGCTACCAGGTCGAGATATTACCAGAAAAAGACAGAAGAGAAAAAATCTCTGCCGGGGTATGAGTTTGGCAGACTGACAGAGGAGAATAGGACAGAGTTAAAGCATAATTCTCACAGTTTTAATGATTTCTCTTCATTGTCGTCTGCATCAACAGCAAGAACTGTGGTACTGCCAGAAATTATCATTTCTAGTGAAGCAACTGATAACAAAGATGACCAAGAGCATGCTTCAGGTGGTAACGAGGGTGTTAAGAAGACCAGGAAACCAAAACGATATCAAAGAACTTCGAAAGTGACTTTGACAGACAGGTCGAATACAGATGAAGAAAAACAAACTTCAAATGAAGAAGCAAATGACACGAAGAATACACTGCAACCCAAGCCAAAAACAAGAAAAAAATATCAGAAATCTAAGAGTGACTCTCCTCTTTTTAGTTTAAGTGGTTTGTCACAAATGGCTGCTTCTACCATGAAATTATGCAAAGCCATGGTCGAACATGTGCAGCCAGACTCTGGTGAAAAAATCAAAGAAGTTAAAAAACAAAAGAGATATTATAAAAAGTCTGTGAGTGACACTCCAGTTTTTAGAAAACACAAAGACGAGTTGGGGTCAGAGACTGACAGTGCAATTTCTTTCAGACTGGATGTTGACTTAGCTTCTACTTCACTTCATAGGTGCTCTGTTTCTGCATCAGATATACATTCAGTTATGTCCACGACAAGCTCTTTGGACAGTTCTGAGGGAAGTTTTGAAGAACCTGTTTGGGCATTGGGCTATAGTGATACAGAGAGCGAAACATCAGAAGTGTTTCTGCTATGTTCAGACACTCCAAACTTATCGGCATCATTTGAATCTTTACCCAATCTTGAAATAGAATCTAAAGAATCTCTCAAACATACCAAAAGATACAGGAAATCTTCAAGCGATAATTTGAAGCCTGTGCCAAGAGTTGAAAATTTGAAAACAACTGATGAGAGACTGACTGAAGGCAAGAAGAAGTACCGGAGGTCTTCCAGCGACAAGCCTGCTTTAGGGCGCCGGCTTTTGCATCAACTTTCTCTGGAAGGAAAACCAAGAAACACTCGTAAAACTTGGCCTATCTTGCAAGAAAATAATAAACGTTTTAACATTACAGATCTCTTTGATGCTGTGGAGCACCAAGACATGGACCTTGCTAAATTGATATTAGAGGCAGAAGATTTAGACGTTAATAGGTGAGTTTTGTTTCTCTGCTTTATTTGTTTTGCATCTCTCTCTCTCTCTCTCTCTCTCTCTCTCTCTCTCTCTCTCTCTCTCTT